CACTCGGTGTATCGACCCTGCCTCCTAAACCAAAACAATACAAAACGAAAAAATCAAAATTGTAAGAGCGTGTACAAATGTAATGCAACTTGAAACAAAAATCTAATTTTTATTTTATATTCATATGTCCAGAATGGAAAGCGTTTAGATTGGGAACTTTTGTTTTTAGTTTTGGGACACTCAGTGATGCTCAGGGCTTACTCCTGGCTTTGTGCTCAGGTATCACTCCTGGTGATGCTTAGAGGACCATATGTGGTGATGGGGATCAAACCAGCATCAGCTGCATGCTAGACTAGCCTCTCAACCCCCGAACTATCTCTCTGGCCCCTTTCAAATTGTTTCTTATGTCTTGCGTGTGATTGACCTGGGTTCGATCTCAGCACCATGTTTTGTCCCCTGAGAACTGCCAGGAGTGATTCCTTTGACCTGCCTGGACAAAGCGTGGAGCACGCTGAGTGTGGTCCAATCCCTTTCCCCCCCCTCCAAAACGTTCCATTTCTTTTATATTTGCCTTTCATTTTTTTTATTTGGGGGGAATTTGGGGGCCACGTGGTGGTTCTCAGAGTTTACTCCTGGCTTGGTGCTCAGAAATAACTCCTAGTGATACTCCAGGAACCATATGGGACACCTGGGGATTGAACCCAGGTTGACCGTGTGCAAGGCAAACGCCCTACCCACTATACTATTGCTCAGATGCATCTATTTGCCTTTTCAATTGCTATCATATGTTTGGTACTTTTGCATTAAACTCTGTTTTGTTTTGAAGCCATGCTCAGTAGTTGCTGCAGGTGATTCCTGGCTTGTTGCACCAGGAGGCACTCCCAGGATTGCTGAGGGACCAGGCAGAGCTGAAGGCCAAGCTGCACTAGAGGCACTTGCTCCAGCCCTTGTGCCATCCCTGCTGCCCTGTTTTTAGATTTTGTTCGAAGGTGGCTCAGGGATATAGCTCAGTGGTAGAGCCCTTTATTTGCAAACATGATGCTCTGCATTTGATCCCTGGCACCAGCCCAAATGCTGAGGATGATATCCAGAAAACAGCACTACCTTTGGGAGCCCAGTGCTACAGGAAGTGTACAGTCCCTGGCACACTGCAGCCAAGTGTGTGTGACCTCAGTCATCACTCTACAGCAGCAATAGCAACAATAAAGGAAGGGACACGTGAAACATCTCAAAAATTAGAATCACTTGGTGTAAAAAACTACGCACACTGAAGGTTGTGTGTTCGCGGGCTCTCTGGACGGCTCTATCTCACCGCCCGCGTTCAGTGCCCTAGAGCCGCTGTGTGTGGCCTGCATCGGGACAGCTGTTGGCCAAGGGCAAATGAAGGAAGAGACGAGGGCCAGGCTGGTTGATCTTAGTGGCAGTTTATTACAAGTAAGTTTATCCCATAGGAGAACCTTATGTTATGGAGGGCCTAGGTTCTCTCAAGCACACGTTCCCCTAGCTAGTCTCCCCGTGGTCCATCTTTCAGCCCTGCTCTCTCCTTCTCCAGCTCCCTTCTAGTCTCGGCTGACACTCCACCCAGTCAGGTAGCCAAATCAACATTAGAAAGCCCTTCCTGACTGCTCAAGGGCTAGATACCTCTTAAGGTGTTTTTCTCTTTTCCTCAGTCCAATAAACGATCAACTATTCCTGAAGTTATGCAGGAAGGACAGAACAGTGTTATCCTACAACTTGAGGCTGAAGCAATAGCACAGCGATAGCAATAGTGGCTAGGGTGTTTGCCTTGCACGTGGCCAACCCGGGTTCAATTCCCAGCATTCCATATGGTCCCCTAAGCACCACCAGGAGTAATTTCTGAGTGCAGAGCCAGGAGTAAACCCTGTGTATTGCTGAGTGTGACCCAAGAAGCAAAGGAAAAAAATTAGAGTCACATGTTTTCTTTTTATAAACAGCGTTATAACATGCTCCAAGTGTGCATGGTCAGACGTGTGTTTGAACTAGATTCAGTTCACCACTGTGTTCCACTTCTGACTTTTGCATCTCCTTCAATTCCCTTTGTTCAGAGTTTGTATGCCAGTGCATGATATGAAATTTCTCCTCTTGTATTTGCTTGTGTGTGAGTACATCTAATGACCTCTATAAAACTATGTAGCTGTGGAGATGTGGCTCAGTGTCAAGCACATGCCTTGCTCACATAAGACCTGGTAGCTTTCAGCTTTTTTTATTTTTATTTTTTTAAATTTTTTAAATTTATTTTTGTTTTTATTTTTGCCCTCCATGTTCCTGGAGCGAAGAGATGCCATTGGGCTACACTAGCACGCGACAGGGACAAATGGAGACGTTACTGGCACCCGCTCGAGCAAATCGACGACTAACGGGAAGTTAAGTGATTAAGTGATTTGTTTTTATAACGTAGAAGTGGAGGAATCGAACCCGGCTCGGCCGGGCTGGCTGCACACAAGGCAAACACACAGCAGTAGGGCGTTTGCCTTGCACGCAGCCAACGTGGCCGACCCGAGTTCGATTCCTCTGTTCCTCTCGGAGAGCCCGGCAAGCTACCGAGAGTATCTCGCCCGCACGGCAGAGCCTGGCAAGCTCCCCGTGATGTATTTGATATGCCAGACACAGTAACAACAAAGTCTCCAATGGAGCCGTTACTGGGCCTGCTCGAGCAAATCAATGAACAACGGGAGCACAGTGACAGAACGTAGAAGTACTGCTATTTATTCAACCATTGATTAAGCTGATTGAACTGGGCATGAACTCCACATTACTTTTTTTAAATTCATAATGTTAATTTTATTATTTATTATTATTATTTAATCACCATGAGATAGTTACAAAGCTTTCCTGTTTGAGTTTCAGTCATACAGTGATCCATCACCCAATCCTCCACCAATGCACATCTTCCATCACCAATGTCCCCAATATCCCCCCCATCCCGACCCTCCCCCATACTCTCCCCGATACTCTCTCTTGTATTGCTTGTTATGAATAGCATAAGATGTCGAGCAGCTGCAAGAGTAGCTGCATGCTCCTGGAATTCTCAAATTTTAGATGATTAGGGTCTGGAGAAATCTCTGCAGCAAGCTGCTGGGTTCAGAGATTCTTTTGTGTGTCTCTGGATCATGGCTGTTAAGGAGCTTAAGTAGCAGCCGGAGGCAGTTTGTGGGCATGACCTCTAGGCTCCCGTGGGGACAGGGGGATGAGAAGGACCAGCACATCCCCTATTCCATGAGGCCTGGAGTTTGCCGTCACTGAACCCATGTACCTGCACTTCTCATTGGGTTCTGGAAGTTGGCAGCCACTGGGGTTTTCAGGGGCAGGTGGAGAGACGATGCCTTCCTCCATCTGAGGCACCCAGGTGAAGTCAGCCTGGCTTAAAGTCTGGAGGCATCTCGCAGCAAGCTGCTCGGTTGGGAGATTCTTTTGTGTGTCTCTGGATCATGGACCTTGCTTCCATCTTTTCCAGAGAAATAAACTATTGGCAAATGCTCTGCAGGGCACACCCACAGCGCATAGTGGGCCCTAACTGTGTCACTTGATCTCTTTCGAGATTTATGGGTCTCTGAAATAAGACCAGTAAGTGAGCTGAGCCGGAGGTGGTTTGTGGGTGTGGCTCCCACATACCTAACTTTTGGCTGTTTAATTTCTTGGTAAACTTGGACCCAAGTTGTTGGGGTCTGGCCAAAGTCACAGTGGCAGTTTTTTTTTTTCCTTTTGGGTCACACCCGGTGATGCACAGGGGTTACTCCTAGGTCGGTCATGCGCTCAGGAATTACTCCTGACAGTGCTCGGGAGGTCAACATGACAAATGACCTGGCACCCGAGCTGCGCAGGAGGAAGAGAGCGGCTTGGAACGCCTTCAAGAACGTCGAAGAAATAGCTAAGAGGACGAAGAACCTCCGGCTCCGGGCACATCTCTTTGATTCCACTGTTCTTCCTGCATTAACATATGCCTCAGAGACCTGGGCCCTACGCAAACAAGATGAGAACGCCATTCAGGTCTCCCAAAGAAGAATAGAAAGAGCTATGCTTGGAATATCACGTTTCACTCAAATGAGAGAACGAATCCGGAGTTCTGACATCCGTCGACGATCAAGGATCAGGGACGCTGTCTCATTTGCCAAGGTGTCGAAAATCAGATGGGCTGGTCACGTAATGAGATTTAAAGACGACCGTTGGACTAGAGCTGTTACTGATTGGATTCCACGGGATGTCAAGAGACCGCGTGGCCGCCCACCTACCAGATGGTCAGACTTCTTTGTCAAGGTCATGAACGATCGGTTTGAGGCCCTCCATGTTCCCGGAGCGAAGAGATGCCATTGGGCTACACTAGCACGCGACAGGGACAAATGGAGACGTTACTGGCGCCCGCTCGAGCAAATCGACGACTAACGGGAAGTTAAGTGATTAAGTGATTAAGTGCTCGGGAGACCATGTGGGATGCTGGGAATCAAACTCAGGTTGGCATGTGTAAGGCTAACGCCCTACCCCCTGTGCTATCACTTCAGCCCCCACAGTGGCGATTTTGGGGTGTCAGGAAGCCTGAAGGCCCCGTCAGGCTGCTGATGCACTCGACTTGCAGGTACAACTTGACCTGCTGGCGGCACCATACCACCCCCTCTTTCAGTTTTTTTATTACTCTCCTTCGCCTGTTTTCAGGGCTGCCTCTCATTCCAGAACTTCCACACCACCACCGGAAGCACTTACAGAAGAGAGGAATCTGGTAGCCGCTGTAGTGGTGGCGCTGCCCAGGTTTATTTCCCTAGGATCAATGTGGAGCCACTCAGGGGCCCTTCCTGAGGCTCCGTGTAAACTGGACACTGATTTTACAGAGAGAGTATCAGAAAGGTAGCTGCGGCCATCACTTACGTAGCAGGTGACAAACTGCCCTGGTGCCTAGGACGGAGTTTCCATTTCGCTCACAGAAGTGATCTCTGGTATCTGTGTTTAGGCTTTCAGAAGGAGTTTTGGCATTCCTTATTTCTTAGTCACTTTGGTTAGAGACAAGAACATTAAAGACAAGTGACTTAACCTGTAATGTTGTTTTGAAGGGAGAAATTCAGAAAATATATTTTTGGGGAAGTTAAAGGAAGACAGCATTCCTGCTCCTCGAGCTGCCGGCAGTATTAAAATCAACTTCACCCCACGAGTGTTCCCCACTGCTCTTCGAGAATCACACGTAGCGGAAGAGGAGGAGGTAGGTAGTACTTGTCAGTTGTTTTATCACAAGTGCAAGGGATGGGGTGGTGGTGGGAGGGATACTGGGATCATTGGTGGTGGAGAATGGGCACTGGTGGAGGGATGGGTACTCGATCATTGTATGACTGAAACGTAAGCATGAAAGTTTGTAAATCTGTAACTGTACCTCACGGTGATTCATTACAAAATTTTAAAAAATTTAAAAAAAACTTTGTTGTATAATTTAGCGTGGTTTGGGTTTCGGACTGTATCCAGAGATGTTTAGCAACTTCTACTGGCTCTATGCTCCTGGGTCACACCTGAAAGTGCTCAGAGCACCATCTGGTTCCAAGGGGGGAACCTGGGCCTCCCTCATGCCAAACGTGTGCAACCTTTTGAGCAGCCTTCCCAGGCTGGATTAGACTTTATTTTTCATTTTAACTATTGAAACTTGAACTGTAGCCAGGGTTATAGCTCAGCAGTAGAAGACTTTTCCTTGGGTGAGGCCCTAGGTTTGATCCCTGAAACTGCCAAAAAAAAAAAGTGAGCCTAGAACTGGTTCTGAATTTAAATAGTCATGTCACTAGAGATAGTATTCCATAAATATTTTGTTGTTTTCTAATAAGAAAAATATGTTTTGAATATGTTGGGCTCTAGAACTCTGATGAAAGAACAGTGATTTAATATAATGAATATTGATGCTTTTGTTGCTTATTCTAAGAGGTAAATTGTTATACTTACTGTTTTCCTTTATATATATAAAAGATGCATGTATCTTTTTTGTTTAGTTTTTGTTTGTTTGTTTTGGGTACGCATCGGGGCTTACTCCTGGCTCTGTGCTCAGGGATCACTACTGGTGGGGTTTGGGGGGACAGTATGGAGTGCTGGAGATACAAACCAGGTTGGCCATGGACAAGGCAAACATCTTATCTGTTGCACTATCTCTCCAGCCCCTAAATGTGTCCTTATTAGTCAATAGTTATGTTCTATATTTTATTGTTTGCAAAATTGTTTTTTCTGATTTTAAATTACAATTATTTAAAATCATTTATGATTTTCAGTATAAAAACATAAAGAAGCTAAATAATTTCTGTAAGTAATTACATGATCTCCCATAAATTTTTGTGAAATATATGCCAGAAATATTTATATACTTGAACTGACCCAGCTTGTATAGTTTTTCAGACATAAAAGCTGGGACCAGAGTTGTAACTCAGCTGTAGAGCTTCTACCTTGCATTCTGAGGTTCTGGGTTGGATTCCTGGAACTGACCAAAAAAAAAGACAAAAAGTAGAAAACAGGAAGTTTAAAATCATTCTTACAGAGCCGTGTATTAGTTTGCTGGAGCTTCTGTAACAAAGCAGATTAGACTGGGCGACTCAAACAGCAGACGATTCCTCCCAGTTTCTGCCCCTGAGAAGCCCAGTGTGCGTGGTGGGACTGGACCCTTCCTGTCTCTTAGGGGCACTTCCCAAACACCGAACTCCTGAGACCATCACAGCGGTGCTTTAGGCTTCAGCTTAGACTTTGGAGGATGCAACATTCATAACAAATAGTACTCCCGGGATGTACAAGGAGATGAAAACCCTGAAAGCTGCAGGTAACAAATAGAACCTTTGTGTAATACATTAAATTTCATTTGCATTTCAGTGGCTACACAAACAAGCAGAGGCTAGAAGAGCCATCAATACTGATATTCCTGAATTCTGTGATTTAAAAGAAGAAGAAAAGAACCCCGAATGGTTGAAGGAGAAAGGAAAGTAAGTTGTTTGTGCTCTCGCCATGAGATTTATCATGAATTTATTTGGACATTAGCATTCATCACACTTTCTAGCTACCTTGTTAGATATGTAAGTGTGTGTATAGTTGTTGGGAAAAGACAATCTGTCACCATCCTCCCGTTGTTCATCAGTTTCCTCGAGCGGGCACCAGCAACATCTCCATTGTGAGACTTGTTACTGTTTTTGTCATATCGAATACGCCACAGGGAGATTGCCAGGCTCTGTTGTGCAGGCAGGATGCTCTCGGTAGCTTGCTGGGCTGTCCGAGAGGAATGGAGGAATTGAACCCGAGTCAGCTGCATGCAAGGTGAACACCCTACCCGCTGTGCTATCACTCCAGCCTGGGAAAAAAAACTATAATTTTTAAAATTAGGTAGGGCACTATAAAATATTAAACATGGCTCTAAGTTTTATTTGTTTTTATATCTCAGTATCATAGAACTGAAAAGTGTCATATCTTTTGGATTTTTTATTAAAACTAGCTTTAAGACCCTGTTACGTGTAACAAAGATCCTTTCTAATAGCTTGGTTTTATTTGGGGGAGGGGGCGTGGGGAGGATCACTAGCGAGAGCTCAGTGGTTTGGAGCACATGCTTTGCATTCAGGAGGCCCAGGTTTGGTCCCCAGCACCACTTTATCCTCTTGAGCACTGCTGGGAGAGACCCCTGAGTGCAGCTAAGAGTAGCCCTTGAACAGTATCAGGTGCGGCTCCCCAAGAATGGAAACAAACCAAAAATGTGGCTTTTTGGGCCAGGGACCTCAGTCAGACAGTTGGGCATGCTTTGCCTGCGAAAGCCCCGGTTCAGTCCCAGACAGGATCTCCATGGACCCCAGCAAGACATCCATCCGAACCCATGTGGGGAGTCACCACCAGGCCCCACTGGGTTTGGCTTTTAGAAACTAGAGTTTGTGGGTATGTAATGTGGCTCAGTGATAGAGTTTGTGCCTTGTGTGTTAGACTTTGAGTTTTTTTTTTCTTTTCTATTCTAAAGATTTGGGGGCCACACCCAGCACTGTTCAGACCTTAACTCCTGGCTCTGAACCCAGGGTTCCTGGTGGGAATCAGCAGGCTATCTGGGGTACCAGGGATCAAACCCAGGCTGACCGCATGCAGGCCAATGTCTTACCTACTGTCCTATCTCTCTGGCCCCAAGAGATTCTGACGCAAAAATTTTGATCCCTGGCATGCACATATACACAAAAAATGTAATGAAAATAATCATTTTTTTCATTTGATTAAATGCTTCTTTTTTTTGTTCTTTTGGGTCACACCTGGCGATGCACAGGGGTTTCTCCTGGCTCTGCACTCAGGAGTTATTCCTGGTGGTGCTCAGGGAACCATATGGGATGCTGGGAATCCAACCCAGGTCGGCCACGTGCAAGGCAAATGCCCTACCTACCCGCTGTGCTATCTCTCCAGCCCCTGATAAAGTGCTTTTTTGATCATTCACATACATTTGTTAATGATGACCAAATTATATTAGGAATCATTATTTATCATGCATCCCTTTTATTCACATTTGATTCTATGAGTAGCTTTTTTGTTTGGTTATTTTGGTTTTGCTTTTGGGGCATACCCAGTGATACTCAGGGATCACTCCTGGTGGGGCTCTGAGGACCACATGGGGGGCCTGGGATTGAATCTAGATGGACCACTGTAAGGCAGGCACCTTACCTGCTATACTATCCCTTAGATACCAATGAATATTTTTATGTACTAGTGAAATCTGGTACATTCTGAATGGTAATTTGAGTCTATATTTTGAAGGCAGTTATAAGTATTATTTATTATATAATGACATATATACATATATATCATTGTATATGTACATATATGGTTTTGGGGGACTTTCCTTTGGAGGAGGTTCACACCTGGCAATGCTCAGGGGTTATTCCTGGCTCTGCGCTTAGAAATTACTCCTGATGGTGCGGAGTAATTTAGGATGTCGGGAATCGAACCCAGGTCAGTCACATGCAAGGCAAATGCCCTACCCATTGTTCTATAGCTCCAGCCCCCTCCACATATATAATTTTGTACTTTTTGTTTTATTTTTGTATTATTTAGCTTCAGTTGACTTGCACACAGCCGGCCCAAGTTTGATTCCTCTGCCCCTCTTGGAGAGCCCGGCAAGCTACCAAGAGTATTCCGCCCGCACGGCAAAGCCTGGCAAGCTTCCCGTGACATATTCAATATGCCAAAAACAGTAACAACAAGTCTCACAATTTGTTGAGACATTACTGGTGCCCGCTCAAGCAAATCGATGAACAGCGGGAGGACAGTGCTACAGTGCTACAGTGCTGCATTTTAACACCGTAGTTTATAGGGGCTGGAGCAATAGCACAGTGGGTAGGGCATTTGCCTTGCATGCACCTGACCCAAGTTTGATTCCCAGCATCCCATATGGTCCCTTGAGCACTGCCAGTAGTAATTCCTGTGTGAATGAGCCAGGAGCAAATCCCGTGCATCGCTGGGTGTGACTCAAAAAGCAAAAAAAAAGTAATAATAAAAATAAATAAATAAAAAATTGAAAAATAAAAAATTAAAGGCCATAGTTTAAAAACTTGTTCATAATAGAGTTGTTTTGGGCACTCAGTGTCCAGCACCAATCCCACCACCAGTATGACCTTCCCTCCACCATTGTCACCAGCTTCCCATTCCCTCTCCAAGCCTGAACCTTTAGCAGGCACAAAATAATTTACTTTATATTGCTTTATTACAACAAAATGGTAAATGGAATATATCAAAAAAGAGTTCAGTAAAGAAAATTGTTATGTCTCACAATGGTGGTATTCAAGTCATTGTCTGAAGGTTTACTAAGCTGTTTGTTGCTAGTTGGATCTTCTGTATTATTGTTTTTGCTTATTGAGCTTAGTGGGCTTCTGTGCTACTTTTCCTTCTAGTTTACGGTGTTCTGCTGGGCTGACAGTGGAATTTGAAGGTGTCATGTGGCCACATATGTGGCTGTGTGGGCTAAGAGCTGTAAAACTGAAATGACTCTTTGGTTTGGATTCTCTTGAGATTAGTCGTGAAGCTGTGAAGCTGGACAATTTATGCCAGAGACTGTGTGGAGTGGGTGAGGCTGCTTGGGCTTTCAGAGGCACAAGGGCAATGGGGATTGGCCGCCTGAGAAGGCCCACTCAGAGAAGGCCCTGGAGTTTTCAGCCTGGAGACCTGTGTACCTGGGACTTTCACAGGCTTGGAATCTCTTCTGGTATTAGTGAGCTGTGAAGCCTGATTGTTTATATGGCATGGTCTGTTTTAAAAACAATTTCCAAACCACACAATTCTATAGTTAAAGTTCAGAATGAGTGTCTCTGGGCTAAAATCAGATTAGCGCTTGTGCTCCCTGTGGAAGGAAGTTCTATGGTGACTGTCTTCCTTTCTGTTTTCCAGTTGGCTGTGCATTGACTTTCCTTGGCCTGTGGCCTGCACACCCAGCAAGAATGTCCCTCCTACTGTTTACACAATGACATTGTTCTCTGCCTCTGCTGCCTCCCTCCTTTATAAGACCCTCGAGTCTCACATAACCAGGATAATTTCCTTCCTTGAGATCCTTAACCAAACCATAACTGCAGTTCGGGAACATACTCAAAGGCACTGGATCAGAACATGGACAGCTTTGGGGTGGGGACCATTATCTGTCTACTGCAGTGCCTGTACTTTTATTTTCTCATCTCTTCTCTGTTCTTTCTCAGTTTTCTCTTCTGTCTGTTTCAACACTGGGGGTTAATCTGTGGAGTTGAACTGAAATTGGCATTTTTTTCTCCTGAAGGTTAGAGACCTGGGGCTGACAGCTTGGTTCTTCCTATCCCAAGAGTAAAATCCTACAGGATTCTTCTCCTCTCTCATCTCTTCTTCCTCCCTCCTTCCTTTCCTTTTTCCCTTTCCATTTAGTTCATTATCAAATAAACCTTTATTGATTATTTGTTTTCCAGGTAGTACCTGAGATTTGAGCTACAGAGATCAGTGGAGGAGAGAGCTAAACATTTATTAACATTGTATGTCAATTACAGTACACAGAACTTATTATCACTCACTATATGTTAAGTACTGTAACTCATTGATACTGCATGTCAAGTATGGTACATAGAACTTATCACTGTGTGTCAAGTACACTACATACAACTTAGCACTGTTTTTCAAGTACAGCACCCAGAACTGACTAGCACTGTTTGTCAAATACTGAATTCACTGGCACTGTGTGCTAAATCCAGTACAGAAAAATGACAAGGGATGACTGGAGTGATAACACAGTGGGTAGAAGGTTTGCCTTGCACATGGCTGACCCGGGTTCGATCCCCAGCATCCCATATGGTCCCCCGAGCACTGCCAGGAGTAATTCCTGAGTGCAGAGCCAGGAGTAACCTCTGTGCATTGCCATGGTGTGACCCAAAAAAGCAATAAATAAATAAAATGACAAGGGAACATGATGGCACTGAATACGAGAGAGAGAGAGAGAGAGAGAGAGAGAGAGAGATATGATGGGAGGTGTGTTCTTTCAGGAAGAGGAAATGCAGTGAGCAATCAGAAGTCAATGTGAGACAGAGGTTAGGAGCTATACATAATTAACTTTTCCTTAAACAGAATTTCAGGCAAGGAGTAATGACAAACCTAGAAAACATATGGGCCTTGTGTAATTGAAGAGTCTTAGATTTTATTCAGTAAAGTGATGAAAATGTGTTGCAGAAATCATAGTGAACTGCTTTGAACCATGGCATGGTGGCAGAATTGGCAAGGAGGCAAGTGAAGAAATATTGGGCCAGGGAAATGGCTCAGAGGGCTGGAGTAATGGCCCAGGTTCAATCCTGGTGCCATATGTTCCTTGAGCACCTTTGGCAGTAACCCCCAGGCACATAGCTGAGAATAGCTCCCTAAGACTGTTGGATAGGGCCCAAAAGACACCCTTCTCCCCCTAAAAGCAAAGTTTATAAAGAAAAATTCTTGGGGTAGTTGTTGGGGGGTGAAAAGAAGCATAGTT